TATTATCACAATATTTGATGTAAGTTCAATACTCCTTGTTGTGCGAGTGTTGATTTAAGTAGAATTTATTTTGAAAGTTTAGGACAAGTTTTCAAGTTATACTCTCTGATTATAATGGACAATAATTTGGGAATTTCTGCAAAAAGTGTTGCTTTGAACTTGTGAGAGAGGAGGAGGATTTTCCTATAACAAAAAAAAAAAGAAAGTAATTTGTATGGTTGAATATTTATAATTTATTTTTATAAAAAAATTCAATAATAAAACTAGTGAATAAATAAATAAATATTACTTGTTAATTTTATATGATTTTTATTTTTCAAGTGAAAATAATTTTTAAAATAATAAAAATATTTTTTTTATGTTTACTTTTATCAGATTAATTTATGATTTTTCCAAAAACAAAATTTCTTTTTCAAATTTTAAAATATTAAAAATATTTTTTTTATGTTTACTTTTATCAGATTAATTTATGATTTTTCCAAAAACAAATTTTCTTTTTCAAACAAAAAAAAAATTGTGTTAAATCCTGTAATTGAAAATTGAAATCCGTATCAAGGGTGGTCTAATTTCTAAGGCACCCTTAGCCATTGCATGGCATTTTTTTGCGAATAGACAAATCTACCCCTATATCAAAATCTCTTGTGGTATGCTTGCTTGGAACTTAAATTTATTAAAATAAATGAAAATAAAACAACTAAATTTAGGTTCTTTTAATTTTTTCTTTTTTCTTCTCCTTATTGTGTCTTTTTATTTATTTATATTTTTACAAATCTCTTAAAAAATTCATAGTCCAACAACACATACAAATACACATTTTGAGATTTACTTAAAGTATAGGTTGTCTTAGAAATTATAAAAATCTCCTTCTTACAATTTTTTATTTAACAAATTAATAAAAAAAAAAAAAATCTAACTACTTGCTCTACAATAATAAAATTTCTTGACTTGTTATTGAAATAAATTTCTAGTATTATTAAAAACAATTAATTCACTTTATGATTTATTAATAAAAGGGATCATTTGTTATATATTTATAAACTTGAAGGGCGGGATGTAATTTCCAAATTTATAGGAATAATCTGTATTTTAAATAAATCTCATGAAATGTATTTATAATTTATCCAAACATATAACATAAAGCCAATAATATCAAATTTAGGCAATAATTTAGATAAATTTCAAACCATTCAATACAAATCCTTTTATTGTCTGTGTTAATATGGAAAGAGCATCATCAATCTAAAAAAAAATATGGTAATAACATCTTCATTTGATTCTTCAAATCTTACCTAATAGTGAAAAAGTTAATTTTGGAGACAACAAATCACTACTTGAATTATCAAAACACTACTTGAATTATCAAAAATTTAGGATTTACGCTATATTTGGTTGGAAGATTTGGGAAGAGATTTTTTATTTCAGAATCTCTCTCAAAATCCCTTAACCAAACATAGTGTTTGAGATCTCAACCAAAAAAAGGTTGATCATCATTTTACTTTTGTTTTTAACTATCAAAATCCAAATTGTCAGAAATGGCTCACTTTCATACTCTTATCTTTCATATTTCTCCATATTTCATTTTTTGGATTTCATTCTAGGCCCACAATAACAATATAAATCGTGCATGTTGTAAATTTCACAACGAAGACCGTATCTGTAAAAAATCAGTTTCATCAGATATTGATGAATATATAAACAAATTATTTTTTGTTTTATAGAATGAAAGGTTTAAGTTTAAACTAACAATTAATGTCCATTTTAACAAACAATATGTAATTTGTTCATATATCACAAATTAATTTTTTGCATAACTTATCTAAATTGTTGGAATTACGAGAATAACGGTTTAAATTATCAACATAAGTTTAGAATGGAACCCACAAAATAAAGTATAGAGGAGTATTGAGGGGAGCCATATACCAAAGTGTCACATAAGTTTTCAAATTAATTTAACTATCTACAAATTTAAAATATTCTAAGACCAAATATTTGTAGTTAAAAAAAGGTTAATTTTACTTTTATCCCTTAAATTATCACTAATTTCTCTATTTCATCTCCAAGCTAATGATTTTAGGGGAAATTACACTGCCACGAGACTTTCACAAATATTTACATATTAATGAAAAAGTTAATAAATTTAATTATTAAAATTTGTAAGATTTATCATTGAACTGAGCTCTTTTTTTAAAAAATAATACACTGGATCGCGATTTCTTTATGATTTTATCTATTTACTTTTTAAAGTGTTTGATTTCAGTTCATGTGGTTCTATCACGACTTAACCCCGAGTGCTTAGGGCTGGATTAAATTATCACTAATTTTTCTATTTCATCTCCAAGCTAATGATTTTAGGGGAAATTACACTGCAACGAGACTTTCACAAATATTTACATATTAATGAAAAAGTTAATAAATTTAATTATTAAAATTTGTAAGATTTATCATTGAACTGAATTCTTTTTTTAAAAAATAATACATTGGATCGTGATTTCTTTATGATTTTATCTGTATACTTTTTAAAGTTTTTTATTTCAGTTCATGTGGTTCTGTCATGACTTAATTAACCTCGAGTGCTTAGGGTTGGATCGCAACTAGCTAAATAATTTTAATTTTAATAAATTAAATGGAGCAGACAGAGATGAAATAAATAATTAAATAGGTAAATAAATAATCAAAATACTCAATAAAGTTACAGAAAAAAAAAAATTTCCTCGAGACTTTTACACACAAATACTTATCTTTAAGCTCAACTTATTACTTTAGCCTAGTTACATCTTGACCCAAATAATATCATAATTATATACTATATTTTTGATAAGTTACAATGATGACCTCCTAATTAAATTATATTTTAACATATATAATATTAAATTAAACATATTATATATATATATATATATTTAATTAATATTAATGTGATATTAAAATTAATTAATCATTTAGAGTGTCACATATTCATTTAGAGTGTCCCATACTCAATTGAAGACAATTATGCCAACCAATAAAGGTTGATGCCCAATTTAAAAAGAAAAACGAAAAGTTATAACAATCACTTCTCTCACTATTTTTAATAAATTACATCCCACAGTATAGGTTTGATTGTATAAGAGTATTTTTACCGGTGTATTTTTTTTTCATCAAATTTGAACAAAAAATGATTTATTTTACTAAATCTGATATTACTCGCTTCAACGGTGAACTTTCATCAAATAAATTACATCCCACAATATAGGTTTGATTGTATAAGAGCATTTTCAACGGTGTATTTTTTTTTTCATCAAATCTGAACAAAAAATGATTCATTTTACCAAATCTGATATTACTCGCTTCAACGGTGAACTTTCATCAAATTTGGGCCGGGACAATCGGTTGGTCGACCGGTTAGGCGAAATTTTTTTTTTTTTGAATTTTTTTTGAATTTTTTTTTGAACTTTTTGAACCTTTTAGTGGTCGACCGGCTGGTCGACCGGTAAAGCAAAATTTTTTTTTATTACTGTTTGAACCTTTTATTGGAACAGTTTGAACCTTTTGGTGGTCAACGGGTTGGTCAACCGGCCGGGCAACCGGCTGGTTGACCGGTTGGTCTCCCCAACGGTCACAAACAGTGTTTTCATGAAATTAGTATTTTGCCCTCAGTTTGATGAATTGTTTGGTAAAATCTTATTTTGATATCGATTTGGTGCAACCGTTGGAGTACCAAACAATAACTTTTTTATCAAATTTTAAATTTGATGTCAACTTTAATGAACCGTTAGAAATGGCCTAATAGACCTCGTCCTAAATTAGATCTCATCACATAAAATAAAAAATAAAAAAGACGTCATCAGTTTCTGATTTTTCCAATGATTTCCAATTGGGCTACGTTAACCTATAAATAAAAACAAATTTAAAACTAAGCCTCCGTTTGGGAAGTGGGTTGACTTTTTAGGTTTTTTTGGCTATTTCAATCTGGGCTTAAAAGCTTAGTTTGGAAAGGACTTTTTGGCTTTTTGACTTTTTAAAGTTTTTTTGTGAGAGAAGAATGTAATGATTATGGGTTGGATGTGATGTTTTGTTTGTTATGGCTAAAATAGCCTATTTTGTTTTTTGTGATTAAAATAGCCAAAAAAGCCCAAACCATGGCTTCCCAAACGAAGCCTAAATAGATAAAATTAAGAGACACTTTTTCATAATTTTTTTTTATCTATTTATGTTTTATTTAGTTCACATTATTTTTTATATTTCAATAAATCTTATGAATAATATAGTTACTAAAATACTCCTAATAATATTTACATTTATAATGTGAATGTTCCGTGATGTGAATATTCGTACCGTCAATATAAATATTTACATTGTAAAACATGAATGCTCACAAAATATTTGTAAGGGTAGAAATAACCATAAAATACTTTAAATATGAGAATTAAGATTTGGTAGATCAAATATTCAAATAATAGGACTTATTGAAATAAAAAAATATCTTATAGATTAATTGAGATATAAACACTTGAAAAATAAAATTTTAATATATTTTTCTGAAATTAATAATTAAAAAATAAAATAAAATAAAAATTAGTGGGAATTTACGAAATAAAAGTGAAATTAAAATTAAAAAAAAAAAAAAAATCTGCCAAAGCGATTCTACCAAAAGTACGCTCGTGAGGTAGGCATCAATCAATGAACAAAATATTTAGGCGTGGTTTGAAACGATTTAATTAAGTATATTTTTTATTTTTTTATAAAAAGATATACACAAAAATAAAAAGATGATGTGATGAAAAAAAAATAAAAAGATAAATTATATTAAGATTGCCAAAAGGATTAATGGGGGCAGACCCCAGTTTCCCCGGACCTCAGTGACTCTCAGCCCACGTGGCTGTGTGGGTGATTGAAAAAAAAAAAAAAAAAAAAAAAAATATTCTGAACCAATAAAAAAAAACTGAGGTGCTGAGGGTGCCCACTGGAGTCCCTAGCACCGTAATTCGGAGAGTGAATTATAACATGTAATCGAATTATCTCTCAACCAGTCCTCATCAGTTCGTTTATTTCCCTCATCCGTCTCTCTAAACTTTTCTACTCGTTTTCCGTCATATCTCTTCCCTCCTCATCACCGTGTCCAAACACCACCACAAAACATGTCTCCTCTCTACCTCCTTCCCTTCTTCTTCTTCTTCTTCTTCTTCTTCTTCCCTTCCCTTTCTCTCTCCTATCTTTTCAATAAACTCCCTATTTCTCTCTCTCTCTCTCTCTCTCTCTCTATATATATATATATATATCTATGTTATATCTATATATGTATATATATTTGTAACTCTCACTAACTGTTTCTCTTACACTCCTCACAGACACTGTCTACCACATAGACTGCGGCGGATCCACCGACTCCACCGACAACTTCAACACCACCTGGCTATCTGACCGCTTCTTCACCTCCGGCTCCTCCGGTCTAGTCTCCGAACCACTCCGGTTCAGAAGCCTCCAAGAGAAGACCCTTCGGTTCTTCCCAATCTCCTCCGGCAAGAAGAACTGCTACATCGTCCCGCTCCCGACCGGCCGGTTCTACATCCGAACTTTCACCGTCTACGACAATTACGATGGCAAGTCCCACTCTCCCAGCTTCGACCTCTCCGTCGAAGGCACTCTCGTCTTCAGCTGGCGCTCCCCTTGGCCGGAGCAGGTTAGCCGCATCGGCGCATACTCCGATCTCTTCGCCTTCGTCTCCGACGGCGAAGCCGACATTTGTTTCTACAGCATTGCCACCGATTCACCAATCATCGCTTCTCTCGAGCTCATCCAGATCGATCCGGCGTCGTATGATTCGGCCTCGATCGGAAACGGTTCGGTTTTGGTTAATTACGGTCGGTTGAGCTCCGGTTCGGAACAGTGGGGCCCGGGGTTCAGCAACGACGTCGATCTCTTCGGCCGGACTTGGCAGTCAGACGCGGAATTTCGGTCTCCGAACTCGGTCGAAGTCAAGGCCGTGTCGGCGATAAAGAATGTGGTGAATACGGATCAGAGTCCGAACTATTTTCCGGTGAAATTGTATCAGACGGCGCTTATGGGGACTGGAAATGGTGCTTTGGAGTACGAATTGCCTGTGGATGCGAAGCTGGATTACTTGTTGTGGTTTCATTTTGCGGAGATTGATGTGAGTGTGAACAGGCAAGGGCAGAGAGTGTTTGATGTGGTGGTAAATGGTGAGAATATGAGTAGGGTTGATATATTCAAACAGGTTGGGAGTTTTGCTGCGTATGATTGGTATTGTACAGTGAAGAATTTGAGTAGTACCATTTTGAGTGTGAAGCTTGTCCCTGTTGTTGGTGTACCTATAATTTGTGGGCTCGAGAATTATGCGATCGTCCCGGCGGATCTCTCTACTGTTCCTGATCAAGGTATATGTCTGTGTGTATGTATGCACTTTTATAAAATTAGAATTTTGCTCTGGGGCTTTTGAATTATTATGGAATAGAAAACAATACTCACATATGCATTTGCTTTTGTTTTTATGGCCTGTTTGGTTGTTGGGAAATTTAGGAAAACAAGAGAATGAAAGTTTTAAATCTTAGAATATTTGTTATCTAAGATAACAAAAAAGAAAAAGAAAAAAGAGAGGCTAATTTCACTTTTATTTTATCCCCTAACCTATCAACATTTTTCTAGTTCATCATTAAACTATTAATTTCATATATGTAGTCCTTCAATCAGTTATTTAATTTGAGCTATTTCGATCCAATAGGAGATGGTTTAATAGGTAAAAATGTCATTTTGAAATTTGAACAACTTAAGTCATACAATTGAACCTCAATTTTTTTTATTCACTATTTTGGAATGAGTAGTGGAGAAGAAAATGGGTGTTTCGTTGTATGATTTAAGTTGTTCAAATTGTAAAATTATATTTTTGCCCATTAAGTTAGGTTTCCACCAGTGCCATGGATGAACCGTCTCCAATTGAATTGTATGAACTTCAAAAAAAAAAAAAAAAACCTTAATTGAGACAAATAAAAGTAGGAAATTTTTAAGACCCACAAAAAACTTTTCACAATTTGACCCATAATGATGTGGCAAGATATATGTTAGCTTTTGATTTGTCACACACTGAATTGTGTAGGGCCTATCTCCCTTGCCATATCATTATGGGTAAATTTAGGAGTCCAAATTGCGGGTCTCTAGCACTTCGCATAAAAGTATTAGTTTTTCTGAGATGAATTAAACCAAAAAAAAGAAAAAAAAAAAATAAAAGAAAAAAAAGAAAAAAAAGAGGCTATAGAAAACATAGTTTGAGCAATAGAAAATATGGGTACTCAACTTTTTTGTTGTCTTTTCTTTCTTACCAATGATCTTTATGCTTAATAGGGAACATGGAGGATAATAGAAATCTTAGCATAGATATGCGTTTCTTTAATTTGTTATGTGTGTAATCGGTCATGTTTATGCAGTGGTTGCTATGAGCGCTTTGAAAGAGTCACTTCGTGTTCCAGATAGAATGGGTTGGAATGGAGACCCTTGTGCTCCTACTAATTGGGATGCTTGGGAAGGTGTTACTTGCCATCCTAATAAGGATGAAACTGCTCTTGTGATCTTCCAAATGTAAGCACTTCCCATGTCCATTGTTATATATGTGTGCTCATTTGGTAAACGCCGAGACTTTGAATATATGGTTGGGTTTTTGTCTATGAAGGCAACTTGTGTGGAACTATGGCAGCATTTGGGAGTTGAGAGTTACGTTACCTGGTTATTTTCATTTGATAAGTCTGGTTAATTAGACTGGGAAATCTAGAAATGGTATATATTTTTTTAACAAATGAAAAAGAGTAGATTAATCATCATTGTTTTGGTATGATTTGCATTTTTTGGCAGACAGGCATGGTCAGATCATCCTGAACTTATAGGGGATGAATTTTAGATGGTAACTGGCATGATTATGTGAAAGCTAGATGAATTGGAATTCAGGAATACCTATAGTTCTGAACACATTGTTTAGATATGACATGCATTGGTGCAGTCACTGAAACACCAGCATCATGAATCATCTATTTTTTTTTTATCTTAGCCATATGCCTCCTGAGACCTCAAGCGTATCCTTGAATCACCATGCACATAGTTGTACAATTATGGCAAGATTTATCTGTCCATCAGCTACCCTGTTAGCTTATTGCAAGGGCTAACTGGATCTAATTCCTGGACCAAGGACCTGCTGATTTTAATTAGGGATCATATTCCATGGGTGTTTGTTTTTCCTATAACTACATGGAATCTCCAATGCTATGCTAGATGCTCAATGTAGCCATCTCTTAAGGCTCTAACTAACACCTTTTTTTTTTAAATATATATTTATTTGGGTGTTGTGGGACTTGGGGGGTGGGGTTGGAAAGTTGGAAATTCCAAACGTCGGCTGCTGCTCCACATCAGATTTTTTGTCTTCACAGTATCTCATTATTTCCTGATGCTACTTTTCTTTCCCATGTTTCGACAAAAGTTAGGTGCTCATTTGGCATCATTTCCCGTATCCTTGTTGTGAAATGTCCAAATAGTACATGTTAATGTGTGTTTGGGGAGGGAAAGATTTGGTACATATCTAACCTTTGGCATAGTGCACAAAGTGGTTGTCGCGAGACTTGAACCCATAATCTCAAGGTTATTAGGCCAAGGTTTGAATACGCGCTTCTATATAAAAAAAAGAAGTTTGAATACATTACTCTTTTTCATTTTTTTCAGTTCTGCCAACCACAGTTTTTGTATTGTTTTCAATTTTTATTTTTTATTATTTGTATTTTTTGGTTTTTGTTTTTGGGAACAAGGAAACAAATTTTGAAAACAATGCCAAACAGAAAGCTTTTGGACTTGGGATTGTTGAAATGCTTTGGGATTCCTTGATATTGATCTTACTTTGTCATGTAGAAAGAAAATTCGACATTAGTTGAATATTCATTCTCTTCCTACAATAGTTTTAGTGACCTTCTTGTTGTTTAGAAATGATAAAAACAATATTGGTATCTTATTTAATAAATTTAATTAGGTTATTTTTGGCCTTCATAAGCACAATCTGGTCTTTGTGATCTCATGTTTTCCACAGGATAAATACATTGGACACAATGATTCAAAATAGATGTTATTGAAGAATTTGATGAAATTATTGCCAGTATTTTGATGTTTTCCTTCGATTTTTCTTTTTTTTTCGCAGAGATCTTGGGAGTCAAGGCTTGAAAGGGTATATTAGTGACCAGATTGGTCTTTTGACAAACTTGGTAAGCTTGTAAGTACCATCTATCAACTTGCCATGCTTTTGATAATATTTAAAGATAATTTTGGGTCTGTATTAACACTCATCTGCTACATACTGTGAGATAAATTCTTTTATGTTAGTGATATTATGTCCATATATATGGAGGGCAGAGTCGAGCAAAATGCAAGTATGTTGTGCGTGGTGCCTCTATACCAAACTCAGGTTTTATGAGGACTTGGTGCATTAAAGTGCTGGGTGGGTTTTCTTACCTTGATGATGGTTAATTGGCCCTCACAATATGGTGGTATGACCATGATCTGTTGATGACTCTTTGCATATAGTTGCTTGATGATGATTTCAATGAACATGCCGAGTCTAATAAACTTATGTGTCATACAAGTCAACTGAGAAAAGCCTTATTCAATCTGTTGGACTTTTGGAGTAAGCTGAATAAATAGAGCTGTGGGAAAGTACTTATATCTTATGCCTTAACAGTTTATAGCTTATAACTATGAACATAAGCTGATTTCTGACTTATAAATTAAGCATCTCCTGCCCCACTCAAAGAATAAGCTGATTTTTGACTTACAAAAAGTTATAAGCTGCATTGTTAAGTTAAACCAAACACATCAAAATAGCTTAAATTAAGCTGAAAGCTGAAATAAGTAGCTTTTAAGCTGCACCAAACAGGCACATAATGTCCATATATATGGAGGGCATAGTCGAGCAAAATGCAAGTATGTTGTGCGTGGTGCCTCTATACCAAACTCAGGTTTTATGGGGACTTGGTGCATTAAAGTGCTGGGTGGGTTTCTTACCTTGATGATGGTTAATTGGCCCTCACAATATGGTGGTATGACCATGATCTGTTGATGACTCTTTGCATATAGTTGCTTGATGATGATTTCAATGAACATGCTGAGTCTAATAAACTTATGTGTCATACAAGTCAACTGAGAAAAGCCTTATTCAATCTGTTGGACTTTTGGAGTAAGCTGAATAAAAGCCATTTTCCATTTTTCTTTATGTAAATCAAGGGTCTCTGTGGCAGTGTTCTTCCTAAAGGCTCTCCAATCTTACTTTTGGCTTTCTCCTGTTCTTTCAGAACCTTCAACAGAAAGTATATCACTCGGTCAGATGCTGCCATTTGTTCTAGTAGCACATAACCTAACTGTCTTGTTTGGTTTGCTTTCATTTGCCTTCAATCAATGCTGTCTCTAACTTCCATCCTTATTGCTTGTCATTTTCCTTGGTCTAATTTGAACTACTACATTTTTGGTAGCATGTTTCTGTACACAACATTCTGTTCAGAAATCATGGCCAGCCTACCAATCGCTTCACCCTAATTTCTGGTAAAATGGTATCTTCAGTTTCTCTTCAACTCTTCCATGGTGAAGGATTAGTGAAGAAGGTTGCCTTTGGGTATTACCTATTATCAATGTTCATTCTTCCCTTGTTTGCTTAAAGTTGCATTGAACTTCCATTGATTTTCTTGTTCTATCCCATCTAATCCTAAGTCGTTCCGTTCTAAAGCATTTTACATTGTGTTTTGTAACCCAAATAAGCATGGCATGGCTCAATGAAAAGCGTTTGTCTGGCCTCTTATTATTAGACATTCAGTAGCTTTGAGCATACCATGTATTGTTCATACTAGTCCTTGATAATTTATCACTCGACTTCCCTTTTCATTTCTAGATCTTAATTGCATTCTCAGCAAGAGGACTGGTTGGTGTGTTATTCCCCAAGTAGCAAAAGGCCATATGTAAACTCGATTTTCATTTGTTTTATGTTACAATTGTATTGAAATTATATATTTTATTATAGCAAAATATTGAGAATTATTTTTCACATTTTATATATTAGGGGGAAAAAAAAAAGGTGTGAGAGAAAGCCCTAATATCTATTTAAAAAAGATCTATTACCAAACAAATTGAAAGTTTTAGGTTGTTAGGATTTAGAATGTAAAATGAAGTAATTAGGGTTGAAAGTTAGGAGGAAGAAGAAGAAGAGAGAGAACTTTTGTATATATTGAAATAATTGCTCTACCTCAATTTTACATCAGTCAAATATATATAAAAATCCTAAAATAGCAATATGACCATCGTACCCTCAACTTAAGTAAATATTAACAAGAGAACAAAAGAACAAAAATAACTAAAATAACTATTCTAACACTCCTCCTCAAGTTTTGGCAGACAAACGAAGAAACGAATGCTGAGCCAAAGGTTTGGTTAGAATATCACCCAGTTGATCCTCAGAACGAACATAAGGAGTCACTAGATGCTTGCAGAGTAAGAGATCACGAATAAAATGGCAATCAACTTCGATATGTTTGGTGCGTTCATGAAACATAGGATTATTGGCAATGAAGATAGCAGCCTGATTGTCACAAAACATGCTCATAGGAGTGGAAGCAGAAAAGCCAAAATCTTGGAGAAGAGATTGAATCCAGAGCATCTCAGAAGCAGTATAAGCCATGGCACGATACTCAACCTCGGCACTAGAACGAGCAACGACAGTCTGTTTCTTGCTATGCCAAGTGACAAGATTACCACCAACAAAAGTACAATAGTCCGAGGTGGAACGGCGGTCAGCCTTATTACTAGCCCAATCAGCATCACTGAAGCCAGTGACAGACAAAAAGGAAGATGGGTGATAGAGCAACCCCCGACCTAGAGCACGCTTTAAGTATTACAAGATGCGACACACAACCACAAAATGGGGTTGGCGGGGAGCATGCATAAACTGACTGACCACACCCACGGCATAGGTAATATCTGGACGAGTGACAATGAGATATATTAACTTGCCAACCAACCGATGATAACGACCAACATCAGGAAAGAAGTCGCCAGTGTCACTATCAAGCTTGACGCTAGAATCCATGGGAGTATCACTGGGGTGAGGGCCTAAGAGGCCAGTCTCGGTAAGAAGATCAAGAACATATTTCTGTTGAGAAAGAAACAAGCTCTGAGAAGAGCGAGCAACTTCAATTCCAAGAAAATACCGAAGATGGCCCTAGTCTTTGGTGTGAAATTGTTGTCCCAAATACTGCTTCAAAGCAGCAATACCATTGGAGTCACTCTCTGAAATGATGATGTCATCCACGTAAACAATAAGAACAACACGCCCAGTAGACGAGTGGCGAACAAAAGCAGAGTGATCAAAGGTGGAACGGTGAAATCCATAGGCAAGCACAACATCACTGAAGCGATCAAACCAGGCACGTGGGGATTGCTTAAGACCACACAAGGCCTTCCGTAATCGACAAACAAGATGCTCTTTGCCGAGAACAACATAGCCAGGGGGCTGATCCATATAGACCTCCTCGTGGAGATCACCATGGAGAAAGACATTCTTGATATCCAGTTGATATAAAGGCCAAGACTGATTAACTGCAATAGAGGAGAATCCGAACAGAGTTAAGACGGGCCACAGGAGAAAAGGTCTCCAAGTAATCAACACCATAGGTTTGGGTGTAGCCTTTAGCTACCAGGTGAGCCTTAAGTCGCTCAACAGTTCCATCAGGAAGATACTTAACAGTATAAATCCAATGACAACCAACAATAGATTTGCCAGATGGCAGAGGGGTAAGGTCCTAGGTCTGATTTTGATGAAGAACATGCATTTCCTCATCCACGGCAGACTTCCAACTAGAGATGGACATAGCCTCCAGATAGGTGCGAGGAATGGAAATACTAGACAAGCTACAAGCAAAAGATTGAAGACCAGGAGAGAGGCGATCATAAAAAACGAAATGAACAAGAGGATATTGAGTGCAAGTGCGTTTACCTTTGTAGAGTGCAATAGGAAGGTCATCAAATGGTAGAGCAGCAGGTGGAATATGGGCCTCAGACGAAGGAGATGAACTAGTCGGGCCATAAGACACAATGCGACGAGCTTGAGACCGTTGATAAACTTGCAAAGGAGGGGTAGAAGTGAGAGGAGATGGAGAGGATATAGGAGTGGATGTGGAAGGAGCATAAGAGGGAAGAGTAGGTGTGATAGAGGCTGGCTCCCCCTCACGAGAAGAGAGAAGATTAGTAGATAACTGTTGCTTAGAGGAAGAAAAAAACGGAGTAGACTCAAAAAAAGTTACATCAGCACTGACAAAGTAGCGACGAGACTCAGGATGATAACACCGATACCCTTTTTGAGTGGGAGAATAACCTAAGAACACACACTTGCGTGCACGAGGAGATAACTTATCCAACCCAGGGTCAAGAACATGGACAAAGGCTACACACCCAAAAATGCGAGGAGGCAAGGGAAAAGGAGATGTGGTGGGATATAACAGAGAATAGGGAGATGTGTGTACAACACTAGAGGGCATGCGATTGATAAGCAAACAAGCGGTGAGAACGGCGTCGTCCCAAAACTGTTTGGGGACATGCATATTAAACATCAGGGTGCGAGCAATATCTAGCAAATGGCGGTGTTTCCGCTCTGCAACACCATTTTGCGGGGATGTATGAGAACAACTAGTTTGATGAATAATACCATGAGCATCACAAAAGGTAGTTACAATAGATTGCACATATTCTAAGGCATTATCAGACCGAAATATCTTAATACGTTTGCCAAATTGAGTAAAGATTTCATTATAAAACTTAAAGATGATGGAAGGCAAATCAGATCTTTGTTTCATTAAAAACAACCAAGTCATTCGAGAGTAATCATTCACAAAAATAACAAAATAAAAGAACCCATTAACAGTGGGAGTTCTAGAAGGACCCCAAATATCTGTATGGACAAGAGCAAAAGACTCAGACACACAACTAACACTACGACGAGGAAAAGAACTATGATGATGCTTCCCAAATTGACAGGCTTCACATTCAATCTGAGAAACATGACTCAAACTCGGAATAGCTAACTTGAGCTTGACCAAGGAGGGATGACCCAAGCGAAAATGCCACTGAAGAGGAGATACACTAGCACTCAACACAACAGATGGAGGAGAAGGAGAAGTCTTAGCGTCCAAAAGGTATAAGCCATCTTTCTCATGCCCTGAACCAATCATCCTCTTG